AGTTCCCTGAACAGGGATCAAACCTTGGCCCCGGAAGTGAAAGCACCGAGTCCTAACCACTGAACCACCAGGGAATTCCCTAAATGTGCTTTTTATTTTGAAAATTATATATTTTTAATGCTCTTATTTTAAACAAATCTTACGTTTAGAAGGGATTTCATCTTACTCTAATGGTATGGCACTTTTTCTTTTGTTTTCTAAGATTTTAGAGTATGTAATGTGTTTGTTTTTTTTTTTTTTTTTTTTGCGGTACACGGGCCTCTCACTGTTGTGGCCTCTCCCTCTCCCGTTGCGGAGCACAGGCTCCGGACGCGCAGGCTCAGTGGCCATGGCTCACGGGCCCAGCCGCTCCGCGGCATGTGGGATCTTCCCGGACCGGGGCACGAACCCGTGTCCCCTGCATCGGCAGGCGGACCCTCAACCACTGCGCCACCAGGGAAGCCCTGTAATGTGATTTTATTGTTTATTTTCTAAGGTTACTTTTAGGTATCTTGTGGGGGGAGGGAAATGTTCCTTCTTCCATTTCAAGAAAAAAAGTTAATACTGGGATTTCAAGCTGACTGAATAAAGGACAGCTTAGAAATGGTGTGTAAGGATGGGGAGGTTTGCAGTATAAAGATGGGAGCAGGTGATGGAAAGAATAACTCCCCTTGAATAGCAAGCTTGTTTCTCCAAATTCTCCCTCTGTACCCTCTCTTTTCTTTCAGACTTTCATCCAGTTTTTTTTTGAAACATACATATATCCTGGTGACATTTATCCCTTGACCAAACGATGGGAACAGAAGTCACTGAACCATATAGGACAAGGAAATATCTAAACCTCATAGAGTAGAATTTGTTCATTACGTTTCTCCTCCATCATCGCCAATTTCTGCTCCAAATCCACTGATCCCCTTTCCTCGTCTTTGTATATACATTTTAAAACATATACCTTGGGCTTCCCTGGTGGCGCAGTGGTTGAGAGTCCGCCTGCCGATGCAGGGGACAGGGGTTCATGCCCCGGTCCGGGAAGATCCCACATGCCGCAGAGCGGCTGGGCCCGTGAGCCATGGCCACTGAGCCTGCGCGTCCAGAGCCTGTGCTCCGCAACGGGAGAGGCCACAGCAGTCAGAGGCCCGCGTACCGCAAAAAATAAATAAATAAAACATAAATGCCTTTATACCTCTCTCTGTATATATGTATATATACAGAGAGAGAACAGAGAGGGAGAGATACAGATTATATATATATATATATACACAGATATATAGATATAGATATCTGTATATATTAATCTACAGAGAGGGAGAGAGAGAGAGGAGAGATAGTATTCACAACATGTGTAGTAAATTCCTGAACTTCATATTAGATTCCATGGGATTAAGTGGATCATGGGGTCAAGAAATGTGCAATGCACGTTAAGATGGAGAAAGACTAGAGAATCAAACAGTATATGATTATTAAATAACATAAGTACTATATTGCCATTCAATAAAAATGCTTGATTGCAGGGAGGCACAGAATTCTCCACAATATACACCATGAATCTTTTTATTTTTTTTAACTGAAGTCTCGTTGATTTACAGTGTTGTGTTAGTTTCTGGCATACAGCAAAATGACTCAGACATATATATATGTGTGTGTACATATATATTCTTTTCCATTATGGTTTATGACAGGATATTAATATAGTTCCCTGTGCTGTACAGTAGGACCTAGTTGTTTATCTCTTTTGTATATAGTAGGTTGTATCTGCTAATTCCAGACTCCTAATTTATACCTTCCCCAACCCTCTTCCCCCTTTGGTAACCATAAGTTTGTTTTCCTGTCTGTGAGTCTATTTCTGTTTTGTAAGTTCATTTCCATTGTATTTTAGATTCCACATATAAGCAATATCATATGACATTTGTCTTTCTCTTTCTGACTTACTTCACTTAGTATGATAATCTCTAGGTCCATCCATGTTGCTGCAAATGGCATTATTTCATTCTTTTTTATGGCTGAGTAATATTCCATTGTATATATATACCGCATCTTTATCCATTCATCTGTTGATGGACATTTAGGTTGCTTCCATGTCTTGGCTATTGTAAATAGTGCTGCTATGAACGTGGGGGTGCATGTATCTTTTCGAATTAAGAGTTTTTGTCTTTTCTGGATGTATACCTGGGAGTGGGATTGCTGGATTATATGGTAACCCTATTTTTAGTTTTTGAAGGAACCTCCATACTGTTTTCCATAGTAGCTGCACCAATTTACATTCCCACCAACAGTGTAGGAGCTTTCCCTTTTTATGTTAACTTTTTTTTTTTTTTTTTTTTTTGTGGTACGCGGGCCTCTCACTGTTGTGGCCTCTCCCGTTGCAGAGCACAGGCTGCGGACACGCAGGCTCAGCAGCCATGGCTCACGGGCCCAGCCGCTCCGCGGCATGTGGGATCTTCCCAGACCGGGGCACGAACCCATGTCCCCTGCATTGGCAGGCGGACTCTCAACCACTGCGCCACCAGGGAAGCCCTATTTGTTAACTTTTTAATGATGGCCATTCTGACCACTGTGAGGTGATATCTCATTGTAGTTTTGACTTGCATTTCTCTAATAATTATTGATGTTGAGCATCTTTTCATGTTCCTGTTGGCCATCTGTATGACTTCTTTGGAGAAATGTCTATTTAGGTCTTCTGCCCATTTTGCAACTGGGTTGTTTGTTTTTTTGGTTATTGAGTTGTATAAGCTGTTTGTATCTTTTGGAAATTAAGCCCTCATCAGTCGTATCATTTGCAAATATTTCCTCCCGTTCCCTAGGCTGTCTTTTCATTTTGCTTATGGTTTCCTTTGCTGTGCAAAATCTTGTAAGTTTGATTAGGTCCCATTTGTTTATTTTTGATTTTATTTCTATTGCCTTGGGAGACTGACCTAAGAAAATATTGCTATGATTTATATCAGATAATGTTTTGCCTATGTTCTCTTCTAGGTACACCATTGCATCTTTAACTTCCATATTTGAGCCAGTGCTATTCACCTCAAACCCACAAAAGTCCAGTAAAGTCAATTATTTACAGCAACTCTTCCAGTTCTTAGCTCTCCTCTTTCTTTTACCTCATTTGCTATCAAGCCCCTTTGGACTAGCAAGTTGCCTTTTGGATTTCAGCTTCTCTTAGTTCTCCTCAAGTATTCTGGCTTTGATTTGCCCCATCAGCTCTTCTTACTTTGGACTATCTTCTACAGTAAGCTCGCTCTGATCAACTCCATGTCTTGGCTCATTTTGAGACCATAAGACAGTGCCAGGGTAAATGAGGAGCCACATCAGAAGTCCCTAAGAATCCTGGGATTACCCCAATTATGGATGATGAATAAAGGAGCAGCATAATTTGGAAATGGAAATAATGTGAAAAACAAACAAAAGGTTGAAGTCCAATTATCACCAAAAGATTGAAGTCCAATTGCAAAATAGCTGCATAATAATAAACTGGACAGTGTTTGTTTTATTTTCTATTGTGTACTAGGTACTTAGCACATAGTAGGTGCTTTAAAAATATTTGTTAAATGAATACACTCTACCAAGGGCAGATTTAAAGGATTTGCACTCAAAATATAATTAGGAATCCATTAGGCATGATCAAAAATTTTCTCAGTACTTAAATTAGTCACTGAATGATCCTGTTCCTGGGCACAGTCTCCAATGTGGGAAATGGATTATTATTTGATTGAAATAGTTTAAGGTACTTAGTTATCAGAATGGAATTGGCTCCTAAAATACAGTGGTCCCCACAAGAAAAAAGAGTTCATAAATTCTAGGGAAGATTGAGAAATTAATTTAAGATCTAGCTGTCAAATTTTTACTTTTGCTTGGATTCCCTCTCATTTTGCCTCTTCCCATTTATTCTCTAGTTCCACGGCCTAGTGCAAAGGGCAATTCCCTGAGATAAGATCTGGTTCTGGAAAAACTTTTGAAAAGTCTTTTAAGCTTTCTCGGTCTTAGTTTCTTTATCAGAAAAGTGAGATTTGGACATGATCCCCGTGGCCCCCTTCTAGCTCCAAAGTCCTTGGGAGTCACTTGTTCCTCTTCTTAAAGTTTCCTTCTGAAGGCTCTGACCATGTTTCTATTACAGGTTATCAGTTATTCATATTTTCTGACATACTTCAATCCCTTTGTTCTTATTCCTCCAAAGAGTTGCCTCTGTGACTTACCTCTTTCTTTCCCATGGCTCTGATTTGCTTTTCCTTCTGATGGCTTGGGGTTTAGTTGTTGTTGTTGCTGTTGTTTTGCCTTTGTCATCATGCTCCCTCCCCACCTTGCCCTCACTGCTTGTACCTCATTTGTTGATTTTCGTTCAAATGAACAACCTCAGGCTCCCCAGAACTTTAGCAAATTGTTCCTATAATTTCGTCCTTAAACACACACACACACACACACACACACACACACACACACACACACACA